TTCCTGTTTGATTCTGCAGCATGGATAAAATGATTTTAGTACTTTCTGATAATTTCAACACTAAAGATAAATTAATAATATAATAATGCAAACTATCTTAAATTCAGCATTTCTTTGTCCTCTCAACACTCTCAATAGTTTAAATCATTTAAGACATAAAACACTTAATCTAAGCATTAATACAAAACTTTCACCATTATGCAAACTGAATAAATAAAATAAATCCAGAAACAATACCTACATCATAAATCTAAGTTTAGGTTATCTTACAAAATTCTAACCAAATAGAAGGATTTTATGATATTACTTCAGAAAGGTTATCTTTATCCTGACAGAATTAAATTTATTATGTGAACCAAATTTGACAAAGGATACCTTGTGCTACCAAGATAATCTACAGTTCTAATGCAATTCTACAAGAAGCATCTCTAAACTACTAGCCCAGACTTTTAAGAGGAACCAAACTCCTTTAGAGTAGGTTGAAAATCCTCCAGCTGAATGTTTATAATATGAGAAATGAGAGAGAGAGAGAGAGAGAGAGAGAGAGAGAGAGAGAGAGAGAGAGAGAGAGAGAGAGAGAGTCCACAAAAAGCATTATATCTAGAAAACATTATCTTGGTTAAAAGATTTTAAATTTTGTCAATTTTCAAGTATGAAATTGAAGGTGTTATATGATTGTGTTTGAGGGTGCATGTATTTAAATCTTACCTGTAAGGCCACTGGGTGTCAGCCATGTCCATTGCTACTGAATTGTTCAATCAAACAAAATAAGTTATCAGTGAAATAAAGAAAAAGAAAAGAATAGATTTGTTGAATCAGAAATTCTGTCAACAGTGCTTACAACATTAAAGGATTCTATGAGGCTAATGTTTTGAGGTTGTTCTAATTAATTTTTATGTTTTATACCATTTTAAAAATACAAAGGGAGAAATTCTTGGATATTCAATAGATCTGGGTATTCTAGGAAACAGCTTAGACCAGGGGTGTCAAACTGCTGGCCCGCAGGCTGGACGCATCACGTGGAAGCCGTGCCCACCCCATTGCCGGCAATGGCAAAACCGGCCCGATGCGTTGCGCGACATCACGTGACATCACGAGTTTGACATGCCTGGCTTAGACAAATAAGCCTTTCATCAGAATTGTTTTCTGTAAAAAATGTATCACTTGTCACCATATTAGTTAAAATTGGAAAATAACATTCTTGAAAGCCTATCTGTACAATTTTGGTGAATTGCTATTCACCAATTTTATTATGGTATGCCTTAATCATAATTCAAATATTCAAGTAATATTTAACTTGGTGGACCATAAATATATATTTCATATTTTAACATAGTTTTCTTCACAAAAGCAGCATGTCCTAATCTTTAAATGAAACAAATCAAACTTTACCTATATAATCTTCATGTAACAAAACATCCTTCATGTAACTCATTTTATGATAATAAATCACACACCTATGTAAAATAGCACAATTACATCCATTATAAACTCAAGGGTCATCTATCTAAGCATGTTTATACTGGTAGTTCAGAAAATATTCATGATATTAGCTACCAATATTGTTCTCAAAGCAGCTGCATGTATCGTTGAAATGTAGTTTTCCTGATCTAGGTAATAGTAATCTAGAACATGAACACAATAACAGTCCAAGGCTCATCTTAATCCAGTATTTTGTTTCTCATAGTAATCTACTATATGCCCTTGGGGTGCTATCAAAAAGAAAGTGGAAACATACCCTATGTCACTGTTTTTGAAAGCATGCTATCCTCAAACTCAAGTTAATATGGCATTTCCAAGACTATTAGCCCTTGATACGCTTGTCTTCCATTGATTTTATGTCTATCTGTCATATTTATATGGATGCCTATCTCACAAGAGCATCATTATTTATTTATTGAATTTATTTTTAAAGCCATCTCATTGTAATGTATTCCACAATTAATTATGTTCTTTATGAAGAAATGTTTCCTCTGTTGATTTAAATCTTCCAATATTTCATTGTATGACCTTTTTCCTGATATTTGAGAGGGACCAAAACTTTTGCTCCTCTGTTTTGGTCATGGCATGCAGTGTGATGGCCCATTACTCTTTTTTCCAAGCTAAAAGTTCCAAATGTTCCTAGCTTCCTCTTATACAGAAATTGCTTGAGTCCTCTAGTTTTAAACATTCTCCAAATTATATTGTAAATATAAATAATTACAATATAAATATTGTAAACAGATTTGGTCCTTTATTTTGATTCTTTTTTTCCTTGTCAGCCTTTCATTTTCAAAATTTCTTTTTCCTTTTGGCATGTATGCCAAATGTCATAGCATTATAAAAAATCCTTATTAATTCCACAACACCTACATCTTATATGAGATCAATGTCACCTTTAGGATTAAATTAAGAGCTGCTTTCTTTGTGTTCTAAAACACATTCATTTAGACTATTTAGAGATTTTGTTTCTTTGTCATAGCCTAAGCTTGAATGTACCTAGCCTATGTGAGAATAACTGAAGTCCTACATTATTACAATAGCTTCTCCTTTGCACGCCTTCATGATTTCTTTCACCTTCTGCATTTTGATCAGGTGGGCAATAGCATATCCTTAAATCTAGTTTATATTAGATATTGCCATCCATAGTGATTCTGAGGAGGAATCCAGTGTTCCAATACTTTCTAGTACATTAGATTTTATATCCTGTGTGATACAAAGAGCATCACTTCCTCACTATACCCTTCCCTGTCCTTCCTATAAAGTTTATCAAGAATGACTGTTTTCTACTTATTCTTTCTGTTACACCATGTTTCTGTTATACCCATTATACTTGTGTTCTCATTTGTTTGGTTCGTCAGATTTAGAGGGTCGAACCTTACCTCTTATGATTGTAACCGTTCCTTCGTATGTTTATAATCACAATTATAACCCAGGAGAAACTTTATCCCGTAATCCAATAACGACTGTACTTGGAAAGAGTATCCGAAAAATAAAGGTCGGTCTGAAGTAGACTGATAGGTAATTGGGTGATAGTTGTAACTAGGAATCTTTTATTGTATTTTATAAAATATCTACAGTTTCTCATCTGTTTACTTTCTTTCAAGAATCAGTTTGAAAGCAGCTCTGGAACTTGCCTAATATCAAAAACCAGTAGCCTGGTTCCATTTTTATTTCTTTGACTTGACTTGTCCTTAAAAGTTCCTCAGTATCTAATCAGTCTAAGCCCCTCTACTTGACATCACTGTCTTACACAGTGGTATCTCATCAGCACACAGAAAAGAGGTGGGAATTGTGTCACAATGCCACCATATTTCATCATTCTGTCCTACCTTTGCCTCTTTCCACCCACCTATCCCAGAATCCACTGGTATTACCCATACATTTAAGACTTCTAAGCTCTGCCTGTTTAGCTCGGCTTGTATTTGGAAAAGGTTGTATTTCTGTAAAAGTTATCTCGATGGTTTTGTAGCAGATTGGCAAGTCACCAAGCAAGTATGTACATGTCATGTCTAAACTCATCCATTCTCAAAATGAAAGAATATACCTTCATCTCTCAGGGATTAGATCTCTCCTTCAAGAACATTTTCATTATTCTGAAAACGATGTCCCCCTTGCCATCAGTGTTATCATATATTGGCAGCTGAAAGAAGAATTCGGTGAAAAGTCTTTTCTCATACTCCTTCAGCATAACCACCTTGATTTCAAAGGAACATAACTTGTTCCTAAGAGCTGGAGTTCATTGCATCAGGTATAAAACTACTTCTTATACCTGCAGGTAAATAGCTATTGACCTGCTACTTCACACATTGAACAACATCCTCATCACTGTTGGCTAATTTTGAAATAGTGGTTTGCCTGAGTGAAACTGATAGAAGAAAGGAAAGGAGGTACTTAGGTTAGGATTTTTTTTCCCTTCAGCAACTTCCCCACTATCACTTAATAATTGTCAAAGTTTTTTATATCGGACAAGAAATGTCATATTTTTGCAGGCATAAATCATTAGAATAACATAAACCCCCACCAAAAAACCAGCCCCACAAAAATATATATATATAAAGGTCATTGAACAATTGCTTACATTCCATGAAGTGACTTTATATCTATTAAGCAATAATAAAAAACAATTGATTCAAAGGACCACAAATATTACAAATAAAATTTTCCTGATGGTTTCATAGCGCCATACAATACACATTCAAGACAATTTCACAATCACAGTTTACATATCTCTAACTGAAGGATTACACTTTCTAAGAGGCTCCTTCAAGGGTCTTTTATCATTCCAAAGAGTCCTGACTGTTCCCCAAGTCTCTGGGATAGGGGAGGTCAGGATGACATGAGAATGTGTGTTGCATCAAGAATGTGCAGTTGTGGCATCTTTTTCTGTTTTTCAGTTTTATCACTGTTGTTTTTATGATTGTATGCATTTTTAAGTGGTTGTAAGAAGCCCAGAGCTGGTATTAAGATGCCTGGCTATACAAATACTTTAAATAAAAATAAATAAAATAAAATATTTTCTTTTGGAATCTAAATGTTGGCTTTTGATCTTCTTGATTAAGTTTAAGTTATAAATTCCTGCACCTAGTTTTACATTATGAACAATGTAATTAACGTCTCTGGGTTGTGCTTTTTTACATTATGACTTGGGCCTTAATGTTATGAAAATATTTCATAAATCAGCAAGGACTGGATTGTAAAATATATCAGCACCAACTATACTGTATGTACAAAACTCCATTCCTGAGGGACTTTATATCCAGTTTAAATAGTTCTTTTTCACAGCCATTTTTCAGTAGAAGAATTATTTTGTATCCTGTTACTCATACCTTCCTACAAGGTTGTTGTTGTTTTTACATATTATTGATTAGAAGTATGAAGCAGTATATATATTATGTTTGTGTTTATAATACAAAATTGGTGTATACCTAATATATGTAATATATGACTTTATTTATAAATATATATGTAGTAACTTTTAAAAATTGTTTGTAATGGCAAACTAGAATAACTTTCCATAGATTTCCCTGGATGATGTACTGGATGAAAACCTACGCTTAGCACGCGAGTATCAGATGCTCCAAATATGCTATCTAAATGACAAAAATCAGCTTATGGACTTCTATGAACATAAAGACAGAGCTGAAGCTGCATTACGGGATCAAAAACAGGTATGATTTTTAACCTCTTGTTTTTTCAATTATTATTACTACTAATTAATGTCAAAAAGTAAAACAAATACATATATCAAACAGTATGATATTTCTCTCATTTTCTTTTTTCCTATTTTTTCATTTTATCCTTCACAAATGAAAATATCATTTTTGTCAACCCTGATATTTGCCTCAGTTTGGATCTAAGGACAACAGAATTTAAAAAGGGGGTATAGATTATTGCAGTTGGGTATTAAATTTGACCTAGTATGGTCTGGTTCTTGGTGATTAGGAGTCAGAACTCTCATTTATTTGTTTATTTGGTTTACTCAAGTTTATAGGGTCCTTCTATCATAAACTAAGTGGTTTATACTGTGTTTCCTCAAAAATAAGACCTGGTCTTTTTTTTCTCCCCTCCAAAAGAGATACCAGATCTTATTTTCAGGGGGGGATGTCTTTTCCACTCACCTTACAGCGGCGGCACCAATAACCTCGCCTAGCCGGCCTACTTCTTCTGCAGCTGAAGGAACAGCTTCATTCTGCAGCTGAGAATGGAGCTCCAGACTGCATTTCTATGGATTGAATCCATAGCTCGGTTCTTGACTGCAGAGGCCTTCCAGAAAGGGCTCTGACTGCAAAATGCAGGCCGGGTGATGCTGCAGAACAAGTGGGCCAGTGAGAGGCAAATGTCGATCCATATGAGGCCTGGCAAGTGGGTGCGGGGTGCATGGGGCAGCTCTACCCCCCCTCCCTAGCTTGATTTTTAGACGTGCACCTAAAAATTAGGGCTTATTTGGGGGGGGGTAGGGCTTATATTAGACCCACCCCCCAAAATCAAGCTAGGGCTTATTTTCAGTGTAGGTCTTACTTTCGGGGGAACATGGTATTACCAATTATCATAAAAAAGATTAAAATAAATGTAACAGAAAATAACACGGACCCAGATGACACTTTATTAGCAAAGGGACTTTCAAGGTACAACCTGATCTTATTGGAGGGGCAAAGGAGCAAGGGGCCCTAAACAGCTCTTATGCCATATTGGACTTTAAAGATAACAAGTACCAGTAGCACCTTAAACTATATCCAGAAGCCAACTGGTAACCATTACAACTCTCATAGTAGTGAGATCATCCAAACATAATAAGACATGCTCATAAATATGCAAGTCATGCAAACTGTAGCTTCTGGGTTATCTTTTTGGAGATGTGTGGGTACCAGTATGATTGATTACATAGTAATATCCTTAAATTTGCCTCCCAATGAAAGGATAGTTCTCTATTCT